CTGGAATGTCTTTTGTCATACTGAAGCAAAACATTATTTTTTAAAAACACGGATGTTCTGTACCTGTAATACAAAATTATCTACATTGCCTGTAGTCCTGGAATAACTGACAATCCTATGGGTAGGCATGTAGAAAACCCTTATATTTTAGTTATCCCTTGTGCTTCACAGTAAATCAGTATAATCTGCCTTTTATTAGGTTACTGGATGCTGTGGCAAGAAAAAAATAAACACATTTGGCTTCTAAGCACTTTGAAATGAGTACTTTGAAGCCTCAGTAAGTGATAATCAAGAAAAATGGCACTAAGATCTTATGATAAATCTTCTCTATATATTTAAGTAGGATTACTTGTGAAGCCTCAGAAATTAAAATTATTATATATAGCCTTACTTAAGACTTGAGTTTAATAAAGCATATGATATTGGTGTATTTCTCTTTTGAAGTAAGGTAGCTATAGCAATGCCAGTCAAATGAGCTCTCCTGCGAGTAGTAGAACTAATGGATGGTTCCTTCATCCCACAAACCTGCTGGACACCACCATTTCTCATCATGCCACTACAATCAGAGAGTACATGCAACGTGGATAGTCCAAAGTTAGACTTAGCCCACTACTGCCTATTAAAATGTACAGTGTTTGCTTTCTGCCTACCCTTTCCTCAACATCAGGCTAATATAAGTCTCTTTCTTCCATGCAGCCCCTATTTTTTCACATGACTTGAAGAAACAAAAGTAAGCTACAACCCATACAGGTAACTCAGATTTGGCTCAATTTGACTAAGGAATTAGAAAAATATTAGCTAGAGGATGCAGATGGACAGACAATGCCACAGCATAAGTCTCTTCCAAATATCTTGAAACCAAGTTGAAAAATAACTTCTCTCAGTAGCCCATTCAACTAGAATTACTACCAGAGGTTTCAATGTTATAAAAGTAATTATCATTTTCACCATGGAGTGATTCCAGAATTTCTTGTTGCCTACTAAAGAATTAAAGAGTATTCAGAAAGCTTCTTGGCAGATACAAGAATTTTGCTGTCAACTTCAAAGTCTTTTTTTTCCTGTAAAATCCCATTATCCAGAAAGAACGGTATCACTTCTCTACAACATTTCTCCACCTCTGGCTAAAAGAGTCATCTTTCTGAGTATTGTTACTAGACTATGGAATGCAGTACTCTTGTCTCAGTATTTCCAAAATGTCAGTTAATGATTGTCAGGTGTTTTAACATTTCTTGAAGCATAAAATAAGTGGGGGAATGGGCACAAGAAGGCAGTGAGACTGTAAATTCTAAGTAATGTCTAATTTAGTCAGCTGACATTTAGAAAACCTTAAGTTTACAAGAAACAAAGGTATTTTCTATAAACTCTTCTCTACCAGTATCATCTTTCCTATGTAATCAAGTTGCTCAGAACCATCCAATGGTCTACATAACTCAATGAACCAACCTGAGAGCAGACTGGGACTGCGCTGGTCATAGCAGCAGGAGCACTTGTTTTGCACACATATACCTTTGCAAGTGTTGCCCAAGGTTTTTCATACAACATGGGCGATGGTTTTAATTCTTCTATCTGTCAAGTTACAGGTCACAGACAAATATCACCTGTACAGCAGCAGTTTTGGATCTATGAAAAAACTGCTCTTGAAGGTTTCATATGAACAAAGTACATATATAAAAGACAGCCAATCGAGAAGCGTAGTGCTAACAGTTAATTGCTTCAGGGTTTAGCATCTCTCACTTAACAATAACATGTTTCATTTCCTTTTTTTAGGACTGGCTCCAGAGCCAAAAGTTATGATAAATACCTATCAAAATTACTAACCAAAAAAAAGGCCACCTGTTACTTTCCAGACTATTGAAATATGTCAGGGGAAAGCTTCTATAAAATTTTTAGAGTAATAGGTAAAAATAACACTTAAAAATTACCAAAGTGGAACTAACACAATGCAGACATTCCCTTGGGAATACGCTAACATGACTCATTTAGGAATTTATCTTGGGTTTACATCCTGTGCCATGAGAGTCTTGCTTGTAAACTGTAAAATAAACATATTTCTGTCTTCAACATAAACCACAATTCTGAATCTTTACACAAATTACAATAGATTTTAACTTGTTCGTAATTCCTCTTTAGGATCCATCTATAAGAAAGCAGAGGCTGCAAATCTTTGAGCGTCAAATTAGATGTCACAGTACTGTCCTTCATATTAAAAGCCAGAATATCAATATGCCAGGGGGTTACACAAATAAATATCTGCACCTGTTAAGAATGACATTTCAAGATGTTCCCATTTTCCTGACATATGTGGCTAATAGAAGGCTGAGAATGATATCCCAAAAACCAGTGAGAGCAACATTTCACCTGCACACATGAACTACCTGGACTTGGCAGGAGAAAATGTGATGCTCTCTGTGCTAAAATGTCATCAAGCCACCTTAGCTAGACACTCTTGTAGAGGCTCAGGAGCAAGGGAAAGAGTAGCAATGGTCCATGATGCTTTCTGCCAAGCAAAATGGAAAGATTAGGGCAATCACGAGTAATTATGGTGTTTTATTGGATATGATAGCATTTTCCTCGCCAAAGCAAACCAGAAAGGTTCATTCATCTTGAAATTTTTTTAATGACAGCTGCTCGTGATTGGTTTTAAGTATGTCTGGCTAGACATAAAGGTTTATTGCATATATTACCTTAAACTAACCAATAACTCACAGACTCTGTTTGGTTTCATGGTTAGAACTATCCTGTTCAAACTGAACTCTTCTTGCATCTGAAATAGAGCTGGACTTGTGCAACAAAACAAAGCAGTACTTTTGCCATCTGATACTTTATCTCTGGAAAATTATTTTTCAGATTTTTTAGGAAGTTTCTTTTATGTTGAAGCTGTTTATTTACTTGTGGAATTGCTACTCTGCTTCTGAGTTTTAGTGATGTGAAAGAAGGCAACCCAGGGAATTTCTTCTCAGGGTACCATAGAATTCAATGGGAAACAGAATATTACCTAACGACATTAATTTCTTGACAGATTTGGGGCTCTCCTATGTGAAATAAAACTACAAGTATATTATCCATGTGAAAATGCCATTGAAACTTAATGTATGTTGCTCTCCTACTATGCTTAATCACTAGGAGCTGGCAGAAAGTATCAGCAGCGAAATCCAGCTTCAACAAGTCTGGCTGGAGACCTTGTGAAAATCTGAGATGATGATGGTAATAATGACAACAACAACAGAATCATCTACCACCACACTAATAATACCAAAACCATCACCTAGTTACTTCTACGTTGATATGATGAATCTTTTTCAGCGAATAACCTTTTATGCTAGATTCATTCTATCTGTAAGTTATAAGTAATTGATAATATTACCTGGTTCTTAAAATTATTAAAGACATGCAAACTAGTCCTAAGATGAAATAGGGATCTGAGATTTTAAATTCTATCTAACCAGACTAAAATCCCTGAGCTAATTATCATTGCTCCTTACCAAACACTTTTAAATGACTCTGTCTCAAACTTTGCTAGCTCTTATGTCAATAATACTAATGATTACAGATCTCCTATCAAGATCAATAGGAATGGTTATTTAATTGCTTTTTTTTTTTTTCCTAGCTTGTGGCCTCAGTCAGGTAACTGTTTCGTACTTTTCAACTTTTTTTTTTTCATACTTTTCATACTTTTTAACTTTTAATAAGCAATGCATTACTTGCTTACCTACCCACTACATTCACCTGTACTTCCAGGATGATGATGTTTTGGAATCTCTTTTCTTCATTTTGCAAGACAAAGACCAAAAAGTTATTTTAAAATGTCCTGGTTAGATAAAACTCAAGGTTGTATATAACCCTTTCAGTCCCTTTGCATTCACTATTTTTATACCCAGTATATGGGTGGCCTCAAGTAGAGCAACACACATCAATCAACCATTGATTTTTATTCCACAGCAGGCTGAATGACTTCAAGGATGCTGTAAAACCCAGTTATGTACACTAACATGAAACAGAATTAATCTGAAATTTAAAGCTCAAAAGATAAAGTCTTGCCTAGCAGCACTCCTAGCCTCTTTTGTAGGAATTATTTGGCCTGCTGTTCACCCCTTACCTGTTACTATTGAAACACTATAATTGTTATGTTCCTGTCAGAAATGACTAGTTATTTAATTTATAATTCCACTCTCAGTTTCATAAACTCACAATTAATCCCAGATGCAATCAGGTCAGTGTCAAACACCTTCCTGAATCATACAGTGAAATAATTACCATTAGCCTGATACTATTGCAAAGACATTATTGGTTATTTGGGTTGGTTTCCATGCTGTGAGTGCCAAAACCAAAATGCGTACTAAGAATCCCAAGTGCAATCATGACAAAATTAAAATAATTTTGTGGCTAGAATCATTTGGTTACAGGATCAAAGCAAAAATATTACTGGATGCCAAAGGATCAAGTTCTTTTGTTGCAGCAGAACCATGAGTAATGAAAAACTGAATAAATGCATTAGTGCAACTATTCAGTATGGCCAAAATCTATTTTGCTAAGAACAATTTGCAGAAATTCCCAGTGCTCACAAATACTCGTTAATGAAAACGTCACAAAATAGAGAAAGGGTCTTGTTTGTTTGTTTGTTTTTACAAGCCTCATTGAATACAAGTTTCCTCGCTTTTCCTGGCATTCTTCTATGGCTTCAATCTGAAAGGAATAATCTTTATCAGAGACTTCCTTAAATTATCTTGCTTTAAATCGTAACAGAAACCGCTTATGATAGTCTATAGTAGTTACAGGCTTTGTTTGTCCATTGAGAGAAAAGCTTATCATCTTAAACCCAAGCTTTTCACATTTGATAAAACATGGACTACTATAAAATAATACACTGTGTGACAAAGGAAATCAGTACTACTTCAGGGAATCACGCTGCAACTGGAACCAAACCAGGCTTTATTTACAAATTTGTATGTTCTGCTACTATGGTGTCTACTTTTCTGCAAAAATACTAAAAAAAAAAAAAAAAGGAAAAAGCCAATTACACAATTTACATAGACAAGCACCTAGATTGCTGCACTGGCTGGTACTCACCTACTGCCTGGTTTTGCCCTTCCCTGTTCCTCTTGCAGCACAGTAATTTGGACATAGCTGTATAGGCACTCAGGGAAGAAAATCAAGAGGGCATGAAGCACTTAGCAGGCACTTGTTAATGGCAAGAGAGAGCAGTGCTGTGAAACTGATGTGTAAGCACATGCGAAGTCATGCACAGACCACGCATATAATAATTGCCACAGAACGGCAAAATGAGAAATGAAAGGTCTGGTGGGGGCAAAGAGAAAAACAAAATGTATCTTACGTCATAACATTGTCCTCCTCGCTATAAATGTTCCTCTTGATAAGAAGAGGAAAGGTTTATTTTTAAAGTGGCAAGGATGCATTAAGCAGATTGAGATCATGGCATTACTTAGGTATATTAAGAAAGAAAGAAAGAACATACAGAAAACAGTTACATGCTGCCAGTTCAACGTGACAGCTATACATACGCATCATATCAGAGAGATCTGCATATCATGCATGACACCAGTTGGCCTCACCTCAAGCCACCATTGCAGGGTCATGGCCAACAGCGATTAGCACTGGTTTTGTGGACAACCTCAGGATGACCTCTAAAATCAACACAATAAAGATTACAGAGTTTGTACACTACATATGATAGAGTTTCAGTGTGTTATAGGTCACATAATCTTCCACTGCTTGGCCTACACAGAGTAGGAGATAGATATTGAAGCAGTTAAAACTTCACTCCATTAAATGAATTTGCAGAAGCCAATTTAACAATCTGAGGGTGTTAGAATTATACATAAAAGCAATGAGAAGCAGCACAACTGCTGTCTTCTAATGAACTGACGGATTTCACTTCTTTCCTTCCATCTTTCCCTAAACTAACATTAGAAGAATAACCTTTAGGATCTAACACTCAAAGCTTGGGAAGTCCGGAATTAAGACTGCCCAAGCGAGAGCAACGTCATCATTCACACGGAGAACAATTTGCTGTTCCAAACACCAGGCTCTCCAGTGCTGGGAGTCTCCATGCTGACAGACATCATCCTAATTGTCAGCAAAAGCTTGTTATGTCATCCCACAAAATGTCCTTTGTCATTTATTTTCCTTGTCCGTAAAATAACGATGCTACAGCTAAAGGATAAGGAAAGTAGTTTGGGAAGATTTTTTTTGTCAGTTTGCATTAAAAACTGCCAAAGTTATTAGGTAAAGAATTTATAACTAAATAAAAAGCAGAAATTTTGCCGAAGAAAGAAAACCATCTTACTCCAGAAACCACTAGTAGAACATATCTAACTTCTGTCCCATACAAAAGTATCAGGGCAAGTAATTTTGGAAGTCGAAAGAAATGAACCCTAAAAGGGTAGCAGAATGCAGAATGATCGCACTACATGTGGGAAGGTGGCTAGAAATCAAGTGCTTGCTGTTATTGCAAGCACAAGAAGTAGGGGCCATTAACGAAAGCTGGTAGGAAACAGGTTCAAAGAAATAAAAGGCAATGATTTTTCACATAACAGGTGGAATTTTTCCGAATGCTTTTCTGCTATCAGCACCTAATTACCAGGAAAACATAGACAAATTGGATTAAGTTCAAAGAAAAGCTATGAAAATAATTAGGAGAGACTAAACGAGAAGAAAATATGAAAAGAGAAATGCACGCATAGTGCTGCCTAAATGACAGCTAAGTTACGATTACATCTACAAAAACCATTTAAAATGTGCAGACTCTACAGTGGTTCATTAGGAGGATCATTTGGAGAGATACAAGAAAGTATTACACCAGTATAAGGGAAAAAAAGAAGATATGAGCATTGAAGTTCAATAGTAGGGAAAACTTTAATTGGTCTCTGAAATTAAATTAATTGACATAACGGTAGATTAGATAAACACTCACATCTGCGTTAATTTGGGAATGATCCTGCACTGCAGTAGCTAACACTAGGGAATATAACCACAGAATCACAGAATGGTTTAGGTTGGAAGGGACCTTAAAGATCATCTAGATCCAACCCCCCTGCCACAGGCAGGGACACTTTACATTAGACCAGGTTGCTCAAAGCCCTGTCCCACCTGGTTTTAGTCCTTGTTAAGGACCCAAACATAAAGCTGAAGCAACCAAGTAATAAGAGGAAGCTTCAAGACATTTTGATCTGCAATCCTGGGGGAACAAAAATGCCAACCAAATTGGTATTTTTGTCAGGAAATCATTATTTTATTAAAAGAATCCATTCTCTTGTTGACATTTCAGATTGCATTGCTTTAAGACTTATTTTTCTTTGGTAAAGTACATCAAAGGGTTTATGTAAACAGTATACAGGAAACCCTATAAAGTAATTGTTGCAGTTCTTCCAAAAATTATCTTGGAAAACAGTAACAGTTCTGTCACCTCTACCCTAAACATGGTAACATTCTAACCATCACTGTCATTTCCAGAATTCCTCCCAGGTGTGCTCTTTTCCTGTTCCATGCCTGTCTTCAGACACTTACCTTTCTGTTGCTGCCTATTCCTCCAAGCAGCAGCTGAGTCCCTTCTGCCGCAATCCTCTGTTCCACACAGGCACTCCACAAAGGAGAAGTGCCTGCAGTCAGTAAGGTGTCCTTGCCTCTCCCTACTCAGTGTTACACCAGCACGAGACAACAAAACAGCTCTTCAAAGACAGGGCCTCACCCAGAATTCTCTTATTTGGCATTTCTCCACGTTTATCTGTCACAACCATTGAGCCTGTGCCATCTCAGTGTCAGGCCTTAAGTCTCTGAAGCTTAATTATGGGATTTTTGAAGGCAGATGTGGAACTAGAGAACCCCCTAAGCCTTCAAAATCCAACCAGAAGTTCAAAAGAGTCCTTCACAAGAAGGCAAGAAGTTAAAGAGCCCTACTAAAGTTCTTTTGCCAGTCATAGCCCAACTTCTTCAGGACTTAAAAAGCTCTTTCAAAGAAGCTTTCAGCAGATGTGTCGCCACACACTCTGACCTAAACAGCAGCCAGAATAATCTGAATCTGAACAGTACAAAAATGCAAAGAACCCAAAATAACAAGCATTGCTGTTCAGTGTTACCCCACGCTTTGGCAATTTAATGAAATAAGAAGGGATGGTTAAGAATTATCTGTTAGAAAGAGTTACCTAATAGACTGCAAACACTGCAGACAAGAGAAATCCAGGACAAGAAATCCAGCAGCCTCTTTCCCTTACCATACATGGGAACCGCAAGAGCTGGGCCAGAGGTCCAGATCTGCCACTGAAGTGTGTCACTGCTGATTACAGGTCAGCTTTGTCTCCTCCTCCTTCGCTTCTGTGACACCTCAGTCATGCCACTTTACTGTCCATGTGTCCATATTGTTCCCAACAGAACACACATTTTCTCACCCCCTTACTTTTTTCTCTGTTTTCTTTCCCATTGGAAAACTTAACAATCCTCTTTTCTGCATCACTGTCATGAGATTTTCCATGACAAAATGATAAAACTGGATGTTTTCAAAGTAAATAAAGTGCTACACACCAAAAAGACGTCAGATCAACAGGTCACTGTGATAATTTTGCAGATGTCACCGTCTTCTTCTCCCTTTCCTCATTTGGAAGTTTTCCATTTTAGGCTTCAAACTTGTAAGAACTGCATCTTCCCATGTGCTTGTACAAGCCACAGCAATTCAAGCTGTACTTAGCACAGTGAGAACAGCAGTGTATCAAGTTTGCATGGCAAGCTGTTGCTAGCTGGGAGGACTATGGGGTAGCTTCTGTGAGAAGCTGCCAGAAGCTTCCCCTATGCCAGCCAGGTCCAAGATGGACGTGCCACTGGCCAAGGCTAAGCCCATCAGCAACACTGTTAGTGCCTCCAGGACAACAGATCTAAGGAATAGGGGAAAGAAACCCTGTGCAACTGTACCTGGAATAAAGGAGTGAGAACATGTGAGAGCAACTGGCCTGCAGACACCCAGGTCAGTGGAGGAGGGCAGGAGGTGATCCACGCACCAGAGCAGAGATTCCCCTGCAGCCCGTGGAGGTCCATGGAGAGCAGATCTCCACCTGCAGCCCACGGAGGACTCCGTGCCAGAGAAGGGGGATGCCTGAAGGAGGTTGTGACCCCATGGAAGCCCATGCTGGAGCAGTCTGTTCCTGAAGGATGCACCCATGGAAGGGACCCACACTGGAGCAGTGTGTTCCTGAAGGATGCACCCACGGAAGGAACCCACACTGGAGCAGTGTGCTCCTGAAGGATGCACCCATGGAAGGGACCCACACTGGAGCAGTTAATTAAGAACAGCAGCCTGGGGGAAGGACTCACTTTGGAGAAGTTCATGGAATACTGTCTTCCTATGCTTGAGCAGGGGAAGAGTGTGAGGGGTCCTCCCCTGAGGAGGAAAGAAAGGCAGAGACAACATGTGATGAACTGACCAAATCCCCATTCCCTGGTCCCTGCACTGCTAGGGGAAAGGAGGTAGAGAATTTGGGAGTGAAGTTGAGCCCAGGAAAAACAGAGGGGTCGGAGGAAGGTATTTTTTGATTTGGGTTTATTTCTCATTATCCTACTCTAATTGATTGGTAATAATTAATTTTTCCACAAGTCAAGCCTGTGTTGCCCTTGGCAGTAACTGATGAGTGATCTCTCCATGACCTTACCCTGACCCATGAACTTTCCATTATATTTTATCCCCCTGTCCAGCTGAGGTGGGAAGTGATAGAGCAGCTTTGGTGGGCACCTGCCCACTACAGCCAGGGGCAACCCACCATAAGCCGCAAAAAGAAATATGTTGGAGCAAAATGTGGTTAAAAGCGTAAGTAATTATTGTTATCCAAACAAAGACAAATTAAGTAGTGAATGATGTGACTTTCAACTTTTAACCTGAGGAGATTCCACAGGAAACTTTAGCTTATGAAGAAGATTTCTCCTGCCATACACCGCAAGAATCATTATAGTTTATGTAATTCTGAAATATGATAAGAAGCCTTTGCAGCCCATACAGTCATTTAATTAGTACATGAAATACCAGCTTTTTCCATTCTGAAAACTAGAATTTTGTGATAAGATCATAATGTCAATAGTTCACCCATGGGTCCAAGTTTATACCAATATTATATGCATAGACTGTCTAATGTGTTTAGCTTCTATGAAGAATTTGTTAACAGCAGGTAACATTGCCATTATTTAATAATATGGCTGATTTCTATCCTGCTATGTGAAAACAGTCAGTTCTGATTTTCAAACATCTTAATTTCAGAGGTCATTCTTTTGGATGGGCTGCATTAAGTAAGAAGCACTCAAATCAGAGCAAACATAAAAGTCTACCATGATTTTTTTTGCAAGAAAAATACACACTGACATTTCTTTTGTCATGCAAATGCATGCTGAACACACAGGGTGAGAGAAAGTTGTGTTGCATCCTGTTTGCCACACACACATAGATTCCTATTACAGGAATTTCACACTGTTGAAGGGTGGTATCTTAAAAAGTGGGTGAGAGCTTCCCTGTGGAGGCATCCCAGTGGTGCAGGGACAATAATGGCTAAAATGCAGAAGAGATCAGCCAGCAGTATAGGACAGAGGAAGGCCATAGCTAGGCTGAGGCATGTCCCTTCTTAGGCAGGCAGCACTCTTATCACTGCAGTTTGGCTGGGTCCTGACCCAAGCAAGTGGCACTTCTGAAACACAGCGTGCTTAAGTTGCTGTGATTTGTCCTGTTAACACATCAGAGAAAGGGTTAATCCCTGCCAAATGCAAATAAGATGGTCCTGCATCCAGAACACATACTTGTGTACATGCTGTATACACCAAGTATTTGGTGTGCGCACACCTGCTCTTCACCACCTCACAAGCAGAAAAAGGGAGTGAGAAAATGCAGTTTTTCTCTAGATACCTTGGGTCAGCAGCAGAGGGGCTATTCCTTCTACCTACCTCTTACCACAGAAATAAAATGAGTAGCATGTCTGTAGCATAACCTCTCGAGGAGTGGCCTATATCTAGCTAGTGCTTCAGTCGTCACTTCAAAGGGAATGACGTGTTGCCACCTCTACCCGCCAACAGAAGCTGGAGAGGACACTACTGGTTCAGAGGGAGAATGTGGTTTCCTGGGAGATGATGGAGCACAGATGAGGGGCAACTCCTGTGTTTCAATCTCACCACGCTCCCAGGCTTAACAGCAGCTTTGCTGGATAGGGCTCAGATGCTTGGCCCTTTGCATGACCAAATCCATAGTGACTTAAAATTGAAATCAGGGTTACCAATAACTAAATGGAAATAGTGCTGTTTCCCAGAACACAGCAGATCTTTCACAATGTACTGGGGTGCATGTTTTTCGTCTCCAGTGAGCTATGAACAATAGGCAACTCTCTGCTTTTATTAAAAACTTTGAGGGATTATTATTTTAGTTAAGCCTTTAAGAATTCATACCTATCTGGAAAGGGCAGCTTGTGTAATGCACTTCCTGTTTTCATCATCGCTGGATACTGCCTTTTGCTGTTGCCTGTTATTACTCAGTTAATATGAACTGCCTGTAGTTTATTTTTAGCTCACTTGAGCCCATTGTAAGGTCTGCCCAAGAATTTAACTTTCCAGCCAGAAAATGTAATTACTGCATCTAATGCTGAGTTTAGGAATATATTCCCCGGTCCTTTCAAACAGCCAATATATAAAGTGAAAAGAGATAATAAATAGTGGTTGAATGCAAGTAATCTGTTCAACTCAAAAATTACCTTTTATTTCCAAATTACACCCTTAATTTCTAAAGTAAGTACTTATTTGATAAAGAAGTCACGCTCCATTCATTTAATTACCAACTCAAACAGGGAGATGAATAAATATTTGCCAAATGAGCAGGGGAGTATTTTCATTTGAGGAAAAACATGTCATTATCTGAACGTCTTCATACCACAGAATAAAAAACTTCAGTTTTCTGTGTCAGACAATTTTTTCACGATATAAAATTATATTTAGCATGAGTGAAAAGTACTTCAGACTGAAATGAAACTGGATGTAAACTCTAGAAAGGACATTATTTACATCAGTCTTTCAACCTCTTACAGAAAAAAACATAACAGTAATAATAAAATCACGTGTAATCACAGGATAATTCAAGCTAGAAGGGATCTCAAGAAGTCACCTAGTCCAATGTCCTGCTTAAAGCAGGGTGAGCCTTGCAGTTACTCAGGGTTTCAGTCTGGCCTCAAAATTCTCCAAGGACGGAGAGTGCACAGTTTCTTCTGTATAACCTGTTCTCGTATCCAAGTCTCCTCACGGTGAAAAGGCTTCTCCTCACACCCAGTGTGAACCTCTCATTTCAACTTCTGCTTGTTGCCTATTGCTCTCCCACCTTGTGCCACTAAGAAGTGCCAGGCCCCATCCTCTTGATGAGCTTGTCACAGGTAGGGGAATGCTGTGATTAGGACTCCCCAGCACAGTGTCCTCCTGGAGCTGAACAAGCCCTGCTCCTTCAGGCTCCCCCAGCTGGGCAAGTGCTCCAGAAGTGGCCCTCCACTGAACTCATGCCAGTTTACCACCAGTTTACCACAGCATCCAAATGCAGTCCAGTGCTGAGTAAATTAGAACAATCACTTTTCTCCACCTACTAACTGCACTCCCCTGCTGGATCCTGCCCAACCTGACGGCCATGACCCTTCCAGGTCCCTTCCACAGAGCTGCTCACTCTGTCCCCAGCCTGTGCTCCTCCATGGGGACCCTCCTTCCCAGGTGCAAGGTTCAGCTTTGTCCCTGCCAAATTACTACTAACTTCATTTCAATGGATAATTCTATGAATTATTCTTAAACAGGAGCTTAACATTTTCCTCCTTTCTGTTTTACTCTACTATTGCAGGCCCGTTTTACTACAATTTAGGTTAAAGAGGTGAATTAAATAATTCAGGATACATTTAAAATCTGATTAGATTTAAAAGAGAGATAAAGAAGTCTGTCCTGTTTTCCATGAAGAATTTCTTTTTCACTGTCTTCCACTTGCTATATATATATTTACATTTGCTACTGTAATTACTTTGGCTTTGACAGACCCATAAGAATTTACAGAAGCTGTATACTATATACTATATACCTTTTAAGCAAGTCTGATAAACCATGAATCACAGTACTTTCTATGTGTATACATTTCCAACAACTTCAATATCAAAACTTAGTTATGACAATCCTTACATTATTTACCTTAAGCCAATTTGATATTAATAGTAATAAGTAAAGTTTATAACAGTAAACAGTCACAATAGTAACAGTAACGAATTTTCTACACTCTGCAGAACAAGTGACCATTAGTTAGAAATAGGACGTTGAAAAGGCTTTATAGGTGTGTCAGGTTTGACAAGTTAATTAATAGTAGTTTCATTAAGTTTCAGTTGGTCGCACGCACCATTGAATCTTCAGAAAAGTTTTGTTTTGCTGTAAAACTAATTGATGCCTGGCCAGGTGCTGCCTGTGAAATTTCAGAGAGCACTGCAGTTTGCAAAAGAAAAGATGCTGTACATTACAAAACTGGGTACGTAGCATACGCCCTAGGAAAGGGTATGTTTCTTTGTCCTCTCAAGGAGACTGTGAGTGCAATCCCAAGCGGCCACATTAATACTTTGTTTAAACCCTTTAAAAAGAAATGCTGAAGGACTGAAGTATCAAAGGTAGCTATTACAGGCTGTTGAACAAAGGAAACTAATTTTCACTTTAAAAGCTTTGATTTTTGCACTACATGTCACTGACATTGTGATGTTTTTTAACTGTTTATTGCCTTCTACTGAAAAAAAAAATCACCAGCAAGAAACACTGTCATTGCAAACCTTTCAAGACAATTTCCAGTGAAAGCTACTTGTGCTTGGTTTGAGTATTCAATATTAGGTCTGCTTCCCCTCTCTCCTCTTTACCTCTCCCTCAAAACCAATCTGTCAACAAAGACCTCATAATG